TCGCCGCGCTCTATAGATCGACTTGGGGCATAAGCATCGTTAAATCAATACGCTGACTGTTTCCCGAGCCTCGCGTTTTCAGACATATTTACTGCGATGCTGACGCACTCCAGAGGCTTGTACCTTGAACACTATGCTGTAGTTTTTGCCTGCATCATCCATCTGCATATCATTTTTCATTCATCTACATGTTTTCATTTCGCATCAGTGACATTATCTCTGTACCTGCAAACATCGCACCAGGAAAATGGACTCGAAGCCAATACGGATGTTTGGGATTTGCAATGCCAAGCGAGGCAGCGGCCGGCGCGTCCGTTACAGTGGACCTGGGGCGGGATGGGAGACTGGCGGACCGTTCAGAGTTGGTGCTGGGAAAATTCTGACCCGTGCTTATTTCAGGTGCCTGGTGCTGATGAATGATGCAACAGGAGACTCGCGCCAGGTGATCTCATCAAGATAACCTGGCAGGGTGAAGCTTTGTATATTTTTAGGCGAGCATGCCCCCCCCCCCCCCCAATGTTAAGCTGCCCCCCATGTTGGGCTGCCCCCCCCCCCCTCCCCCCCAATATTGGAGAGGGCCAACTATATTCGGCTGGACCCTCTCGATGTGGACCTAGCTCCTCAAGCGTTATTAAATCTTTGAAGTAAATTCGCTTGATGATTTGGTAAGAACTCATAACCTGGCAACAAAGAAGGAAAAACTTATGTGTCACGATACACAATGTCTTACGTAAAACGAAACCCGCAAAACATTGCACGTCGCAAGTCACCAACCTCACAGCGAATGATTCTCCGCCATCGGTCCTCACGACTCTTCTGAGACTAACTGGCGACGCCTGCCTTTCATTCCGGCGGGAAGGGCGGGCACCGCGGGGAATCAAGCCCCACAGTGGATTGTTACACAAAGCAACAACTTGTGCACGTTGTTTAACTCGTAATGCCACTCGAGTGACAGGACATGACGCGAATATTGCAATGTTGGTGTTAGCAGAAAGCGGCGGAATTATTGAAATTCTTAGACTTTTGACGCTATATTTTTTCTTGAAGTAAAGCATACGGCCAGCTGTCTGGAATATGTAAAATGTTTCGTGTCGTTGACATGGAAATATTCGAATATTGTGCTGTATGCTATGTGCATCTTGAAGAGGTACAACAATTTCCTGCGTCTTTATTCAGGAATATGATGCTAGCAATGCATAAACAGTATGAGTGCTAGATATATAAAACAAGGATATTAGACTTACACCCCAGGCACGCGAAGTCGCCTTGCTTTAAAACTATAAGCTGGTTGAAGTACACCTAGTACAGAAGTAGCGCACAAAAGGCGTAGATCTTATAATGCATGTGATGCATAATGCGTAAGATGTAATACGTACGTACTTCGCACACCTTTACCTGGAAATTTTCGTATCGTTGTTGCATGTAAAGCACCACAGATTCATGACGCGATGGTGTAATCTCGATTTCTCATGATGTAGTTGCTGCTAGTTCTGTTCAGAGAATCTGCCCCGAAATCGCACGCGTGTATTTTCGTGGTCATGAGCTGAATGGCCCTTCCGTCCCAGTCCGGGTACCGAACGCCTGCTATTCTGGCAATACGGGACCGCGGTGCCCTGGTCGATTCGGTGGCCCTCAAAGGGATAGGTCACACACCGGTCCCATCCCTGATGTGACAGACCCTCTGACCTGGGCATCTGACACAGGATCGACACCGGGGCACGCCACTTGCGCAAAGAATCCCTTACCAGCAAAGGGAGCCTAATGACTTATTGGCACAAAGACACCAAGGCATTTTGAAATTCGAAGCCTCGCTCCTGTCCCTTTTCCGGCAAATGTGCCCGCGGCTGACTTTTGGGCACATTGCCAACACGGGGCCCCTTGTTTGGCACTGAGCCACTGATCAGCGCAGGGGCCCGACCAGTGCACGATCTTTCGCATTAACCTTTGTAGGCCCGGCCTTGCACCGACTAAGGAAAGAACCCCCGGGCCAAGATCAGTGTGGGACCCAGTGTTCGGCATGACCTACTGGCCGAGTTCTTTTCATCTCCGGCCCGCCCTTCGGGCCCTTTGATCGGACCCCTGATTGTCGCTGCCTCGGGGCCCAAAAGGCTCCCTGGGGCTCTCGATACCTGAAGACATTAAGGTCACATTTTCCCGTCCCACTGATAGTGGTGCACCTGGTTCTACGTAAAAATGATAAAAAACGATGAGCCCGTCCCGGTGGCCCAATTGGTTAGAGCGCCTGAGTTCCGGTCTACCCACACGAGGCAGGGTGGGTTCGAGTCGCTCTAGGTGCTCGCTATTTGTCCCTGACAGGTATGGTCTGCGGTCAGTGGCAGCGGCCGCGCTAACGGTCAGTGGATGTCAGAGCGCAGGACGGACTGAGCTGAGCGCCAATGCGCCACGTTGAACTGTCGCCACCAAATTCTGCCGTTGCCCTGGAATCGCGCGATCGGATGGTATAGGTCAGGGCTCACAGAACTTAGCGTGAGCTAAGGTCCCAGAAATTCATTAGCTCAAAAGGTTAAGGTAAAATCTTTTAAAAGAATATGGGGCAATTTCTGCTGCCCTCTGGAATTTGACGCTAATCAAAATTAGATGATCAGGGGCCTTCGTGGTGCCTCCTAGAAGTGGCGCCTCTTCAAAATACAGTTAGAGATGCCCGAAATGACGGCATCGGGTATATTTTTGACGAGACGTCCAATTTAGGGTTTTGTGTGGGCGGGAGACACAGAAGTTGCATTGCCCCTGATTTCGGTGCCCTCTGAAAATGAGAAGGTTGTGGTCTTCAAAACTAAATCAAGATATAGGTCATGGTGCCACAAATATAAGTTTTTGTGAAGCATCACCGATAGACCAATCACAGATTTCACCTATAGGTC